TATAATTATAATAATCTAATTTTGGAGGGTGTAGTTTTTCATCCTGTGTACTGCCATGGTCGGACAGGTATTTCTGCTGTTTATTCTACCATCACTTATGGTAGGAAATGTACTTTAAATTAAAGGAATGATCATTTAATAACTACAGTTTGTCTTTACTTATGTTGTCTTTAGTGTCATTCAAATTAGTTGGATGATCTGAAACATTTCAATCTGACAAATAAGCAAAAATAGAAAAATCAATAGGAAAATCATTTTTCATAGCACTGTATATGATTTTAGACAACGCACATATCTACTTCTCGTTAACATTTGTGTCACAAGAACAATCATCCACTTGACAAATGTATTCGGTGCGCTGTTGTCATAAAAGTGGGAAATCAACATGTTTATTTTACGGCTCCTTGTAATGCACTGATATTTGTCTTTACAGTGGAAAGAAGATGAATGGGTCTCTGGACCACCCTGACCAACCAGATGTTGATGCGATCAAGATGTTTGTGGGACAGATTCCACGGTCCTGGTCCGAGGAGCAGCTCCGTGAGCTGTTTGAGCCTTATGGAGCTGTCTATGAGATTAATGTTCTTCGAGACCGTAGCCAGAATCCACCACAGAGCAAAGGTCAGCCTGTAGACACACACACACACACACACACACAAGGAAAATAAATCCTCCTTAATTGGAGTCACAGGTGTAATTTTTATTGCTCGGCAGGCTGCTGTTTTATAACGTATTATACTCGCAAATCAGCCTTGGAAGCACAGAATGCTCTGCACAACATGAAGATTCTGCCAGGGGTAAGTGACAACCTCCTTATCCTCTTCCAACTAATGATGTTATTAATATTTTTTATGTTTTTGTTTGTAGAGCGGCAAGGTGGCGCAGTTGCTGTTACCATGTGTCTACGTGGATTAGGTTAAAGTGATACTGGACACTGTGTGAACAATAATAATAACTATTATTTTTGCATCTCAACTCTGCCTCCCAGATCTGCATTCTAAAGGCATTTTTCGAATTTACAGGGAAAGACACTTTAGCCAAATGGGGTGACGTTACACTTGAATTGTAGACTCCAAATAGACCCTAGGTCTTTAAGCATGAATGGTTATTTGTCTCTGTGTGTTGTCACTGTGATATGCTGGTGACCTGCCCAGGATGTAGCCTCCCTGTCGTCCACTCCTAAAACCCTTACAGGATATGTGGTGTAAATGATAGATGGATTTTGTTTGTAAAGAAATTGGAAAAAAGTATTTTATCTGCTACCTTCTCATCAAGCAACATTTGATTTTTTACCATCTAAATTATAAAATTTTTTAAAGAATGTATCCCACCAAAAGAAGCTCCAAATGACATGAGATACAAGAATGAGTTCCAGATCCAGAAAGCACAATTTTATGCAAATTGGCCAAACAATAGTATAACTGTTTAAAATATTTGAATACAGAGAATTATCCAGGTTTAGAAACACTTGCTCCAAATGATATAAAATATAATTTGCCGAGTGGTCTTCATAGTACTGAACGTATTGCAGAAATGTTAAAAGGTTTATCTTGGCCCATGTGAAAAAACTAAATTTAACTTTGAATGTTCTCATGGTCATTGATGATAAAAGTTCAGGAACATTCGGGGTTAGTTAATCATCCTCTTGGGTTGGGAGTATGCTCATTTTAATGAGCACAATGCACCCCAACCAAAGATTGGAAACAAATTAGGATAAGCATCGAACCTGTATGTATTTAATATAAAAGGTGTTTAGAGAAGTAATGGGTAGAAAGTCTAACAATACTCCTTTTACAAAAATGAGTGTAAACATGCTGAAAAGGTGATTTGCCCCCCCCCCGTGCATCATGTTCTACAACTAATCTGTTGTTTCTTGCCTTGTTCAGATGCATCACCCAATCCAGATGAAGCCTGCTGACAGTGAGAAGAACAACGGTAAGGTTTTTTTTTTACTGTCTACTACACTCTCTCTGTCTTTGATGTTTTATATCAACTCTGTTCATTGCTTTGCTAATGATAATGATGCCCTATTAAAGCCTGTTGATTCAAACAGTCATAATTGTACAATTTGTCAGTGTAACTAGTCCAATGAAACAGTTGAATGACTTCATTGCTGAAATGCTAGTTGTGTGAGTTGTGCTGGGGCCAGCCTGTGACTTTATGACTGTAGATCTGGGGAGTAGTTGTGATGACACTTGAGTGTTTTTAACACACCACAGGTTTTCTGCATCGGTCAGTATTTCATTGTGCAGAGTTTAACTCATGACTGAGTCAGCCATGCAGCATGTGGTGGTCTGAAATTTGTGGAAGCTGCTGCTAAACGGTACAATGGACTCCTGTGCTTTCAGATGTGCTTGTAGCTGAGTATGATGTAGTTCATTGACATCTTTTACTACAACTGACGATAACATTTCATTTGGTTATAGCACAATTTTCTTTCCTGCTTTGCTGTTCTCCACACATTATAACTGATTTGCACCCCAGATTAAGTGTAACACAGATAAAAAGGCAGCCAAACTCTTTTTTACAAGTCACAGTGTGAGCAACCATACTCCTTTATCAGTTTTTCTGTGATTCACACATTAGACGGTGCTCCTCACTCCCCTGCGCTCACTTTATATGTTAACAATAAACACCAACACTAATCAGAAGTTATTAGGACCTGAACATTACTGAAGGTTACTATGTGTTGGTTTGATTAACTTGAGAGTTTGTGAGACATGTATTTAAACACAGTCCAACATTTGGAGCAACCAAATGTAGTTCACCTGCTACAACATGAGACGTGACGTGCACAGCTATGACATAAGGGTTAACTGCTGCTTCCACCGCTGCTTAAAAAAACTGCTCTGTTTAATCAGACCTATCAGACATTGTCTTTGTTTTTTGCACAACTGTGTTTGAAGCTTATGTGAGGCTTCAATAGTCTGTGAACTGTGGATTTTGTCCCCATCACTTAAAGGTTGAAGGTTCCCCCCCTTCAAACATGAAAAAGAACCTCTGGTAGCCTTCAGTTGACATAAAAACACAAAAGGTGTTTAGTTTGTCGACTACTGTAGAGAGGACCCACTCCTGATGTAACATATTTAAATATAAAGGGCCCATTCTATGGTAAAGAAAACAACAATTATTACAATTTATGATTACACTACGTAAAGAATTATTTTATATTCAATTTCTGCCAATAGATCCCTTTCACCTAAGTCTTACACACTGGACCTTTAACAGTGGCATCATATCACTGTAGGAAGAGATCTGTTAATGACCAGTATGAACAGGAGGAATCATTATAGCAAGACAAAAACTGTTGCAATGGCTCAATGGTCACCTGATCATCATTTGAAGATGTTTCTTAAATGTTAAAACTGTCATACTGTCACCTCGTACGTCACGAGCTCAGGATATTATCCTAAACTTAACCTGAGTCTCTTTGATGACAAAAGTTGAACAAGTTTGTATGTTTATGTTTGTGTTGTAATGTGTTTGATACTGTGTGTGGGTTGAATACAGCTGTGGAGGACAGGAAGCTGTTTATTGGAATGATCTCTAAGAAGTGTAATGAGAACGACATCCGACTGATGTTCTCACCATATGGACAGATAGAGGAGTGCCGAATACTGCGAGGCCCTGATGGACTCAGTCGTGGTAAGACATAGTCTGCTGACAATGTGACATCGGTTAAACAGCGTTTACAAGGGTCACTCATATTCATGTTCCTGTAATTATCAGACAAATCTACAACTCCTCACAGCTTTACAGAGTTTCATAAGCTGCTTTCAGACATGCACTGGACTGCGCAGTTCCTCCGTATTTTCTCTCGAGGAGGTGCATGTGTGAACGCAAATGTCAGAGAGTGCGCTTCTTAGTTTCTGTGGACTTTTTCCACCTGTCCTCCAAGTATAGAGTCCGTAGAAATCCTGGAGAAGTAATGTGTGAACACAGCAGGGTACCCCTGCTAGATTCACCATAGGGGTTTGATGATGCTTCTAAAATGCGAGAGATGCAAAAAAAAAAAGAAGAAGAAGGAAATATAACAAATATCTCCCGGTGAAAAAGCAGCCTCATGCATGTAGAGGACACCAACGAAGATGTCAAGAGAGTTTGTGGTGATAAGAGAGGACAACAATGTCGGGCTGCATGATCATGTGATCTCGGCAGCGGAGTTCATACATCACTTCCTGTCTCTGTCTGCTGCACCTGGTTGCTCCACCTCTCGCCTGAATAAAGTGTAGGATTTGATGCTGTTGTGAACCAGTCTGTGCAGAGAACTTCCCACTTTGTTGTGCATGTGTGAAAGGCAGACTACGAGTAAACTCTGTAATACTCCTGATTTACCAGAAGGTCATGTCTGAAAGCAGCTTTGGAGAGTTGCAGCTCATTGTTAAGTGTGTTTTTGTTCACTGTTGGATAAACACACTGAGATGTTGGATTAATTGAATTTTCCTAAGAAATGTGCGTGAATCATGGTCCACTGATATCTGTCTTTCAGGTTGTGCGTTTGTGACATTCACGGCAAGACAAATGGCCCAGTCAGCCATCAAATCCATGCACCAGTCTCAGACCATGGAGGTAAACTTCAACCTCACATTTTGTGTGTGTGTGTGCATGCATGTGTGTATGAATTTTGAAATGATGAAAATGTCAGGAGAACCCTGCCTCTGCCTGTTGGACCACCCCTCATCTGTACACTCCAGTGATTTCTGTGTTGTTGTGAACTTGTCCGAGAGTAGAATCTCCTTCTCTGTTATGCATGTGTGATAGGCAAACTCCGCATTTTTCTTGTTTTCAGGTTGTCCATCCACTCGCCGCCGTCCCATTCTCTTGAGCGCGATATCTCATCAACGCGTTGAGGGAATTTCTTAAAATTTTGTGCAAATATTTACTTGGGCTCAAGGATAAACTGTTTAGATTTTGGTAGCCAGAGGTCAAGGTCACACTGACCTCACGCCCTTGTGAATATGATATTGTAGGACTGCCCATAAGGAATTTCATAAAAGTTTGATACCATTCCCTAAATAACTGATTCGATTTCAGAGGTCAAAGGTCAACGTCACATTTTTGGCCTATTGATTGTGATATCACAAGATTGCTTAAGGGTATTTATTCAACTTTTGATCAGTTGTCACTTGGACTCAAAGATAAAGTAATGTTTCAAAGGTCACAGTGAGCTTATATCAGTCTGGGGGGAAAAGTATGTAGAATTATGTACATAGCACCTGCACTGGTTGGCGGAGGCACACAACTGCTCTGCAGTATTTCTAGTTACTGCATTCGATGGTCTCATCAGTACCAATTCATCAAACTGTCATAGTTTAAAAGATTTCCTATGTCTGTGTGAAGGGCTGTTCATCACCCATCGTGGTGAAGTTTGCAGACACTCAGAAGGACAAGGAGCAGAAGCGCATGGCCCAACAGCTGCAGCAACAGATGCAGCAACTCAGTGCTGCCTCCATGTGGGGGAACCTCACTGGGCTCAACAGCCTGGGGCCACAGTACCTAGCAGTGAGTGTGTTTTTATCAGGCTTCGTTGGTCAAATGACCGAAACAATTTCACCAGTAAAAATGTTGCTGGCTCTTCCACTGTAACATTGTTTCTCATATCTCCTCCTGGCATTAGATCTACTTACAGTTGCTGCAGCAGTCAGCCTCCACAGGGAATGCACTCAACAACCTGCACCCTGTTTCAGGTAAACACACTATTAAGATGTAAGTTCATGGGTTGAACATGTGAAAATGCATTGTTCGCTGATTGATCATCACAGCTGTGGCCTATGGATATAGAAAAGGTTTATGAAGTTAGTTAGGAAGACCTTATTAATTTAGTCTGATGCCTCAGGGCTGAACATGTCTGTATTAATTTAAAAGTTGCCAAAGAAATGGGGTGGAGTCAAGATAATAACTGTGTGTGTGTGTTTGATTGTGTGTATGCGTGTGTGTGTGTGTGTGATTGTCAGGTCTTAATGCCATACAGAACCTGGCCGCTTTAGCAGCAGCAGCAACTGCCACACAGGCCACGCCCACAGGCTCCAGCGCCATGACAACATCTAGTAGCCCACTAAGTGCACTAACAAGCTCAGGTAACAAAAATTATAATTTTACTACTGTTTCATTGTCAAGGCACATCCAGAAGGGCGCAGTGTTATCAATGCCAGTTTCCATAGACCTCTAACAAATCCAGTGGCAAACAAACGACCTGCATTTATCTACAAATGTGACTTTTTGTAAACTGTTATCTAAAATGGTTTGTATTTATACAGAGCTTTTCTAGTCTTGATGGTCACTCAAAGTACTTTATAGTACAGTTTGCCATTCACACACACATTCATACAGTGCATCTATAAGCAGCACTTTTTTTCTATGAGGGGCAATTCGGGGTTCAGCATCTTGCCCAGGATACTTCAGCATGCAGATTGGTAAGACTGGGATCAAACCGCTGACCTTCTGGTTGGAGGACAACCACTCTACCCCTCAGCCACAGTGGATCTAGAAGAGCTAGAAGATCCACTGTATTAAACATCTGTACAGCTATATTAATAGGTATTACTGCAGATGACTAAACCATGTCAATAGCATCCAGGAGAAAAACAGTTGCTTATCAAACATCAACTCTCCAAACTGTAAGGTTTTTCACTTGGGCATTTCATTTTAAATATCATAAATTGCAGGTTTTGCAACATTTGTAAAATTGTGGAGTTTAGCACTAAGGTGTCTGATGGTTTCCTCATGTATTTTTAAAAGCATTAATAGTAAATGTTTCCCCGAGCAGGCTCCTCTCCCACCTCCAGCAGCAACTCCTCAGTGAACCCTATGTCTTCTTTGGGTGCTCTGCAGTCTCTCGCTGCTGGTGCTGGAGCTGGCCTCAACATGGGCTCCCTGGCAGGTACTTAACAACAATCTGGACCTGTGCATGTTTTCTGGATGCAAAGAGATTTCCACTTGTTATTATTAAAGTTACTGTGAGACTATGGGGTTCATGTATCTCTTTGTCTTAAGGATTTACAGAAGTCTTGTGAATGTGACAGCGATGTTGACATATTTCTACTCATGGTCTCGAAAGAAATCACACCGGAGCTGCTAGTGTGAAAACTAAAGTCATGTGTCATTCAAACTTCCTCTAAGTGCTTCTAATGTTGTTACAGCAACATGACAGTTAGTTCTAAGATTTACATATATGAGGCTAACACATGTAGGGTGAACATCATTGCCTGGACTTAATTTGATTGGATTCCTTATTGTGTACGTTTTACTTTGGACTATTCTGTTTTTTAGTTTTCTTGGTTGTGTTATTAAATGTGTTATGTACAACATCATTCAGCATCTTGAAAATATTAAAATGTATGATTATGATTATTAAATTAACTTCAGGCAGAAAGAGAGTAATAAGAAGTGATCTTTTCACTCATATCAATTCTGTTTTGTTGTAACTCTGGCACAGGCATGGCGGCACTAAATGGCAGCCTTGGCTCCGGAGGCCTGTCTAATGGCTCAGGAAGCACCATGGAGGCCCTGAGCCAGGCTTACTCAGGCATCCAGCAGTATGCCGCTGCCGCTGCCATCCCCAGTCTGTACAACCAGAGTCTGCTGCCCCAGCAAAGTGTGTCAGCTGCAGGCAGCCAGAAAGAAGGTGAGCTCTGTGGGCTGGAAGTAGGAAAGTGTTGATGTGGAGGTGGTAATAAATACAGATAAAGGGAGCAGAGAACTTTGAAGTGAAGCAGGGGGAGATTTATTTTAATATTTATTAGAAGCATAAACTCTTGTTTTCCAAATTGCTGTAAGAGCATGTTTAAAGTTTTTTTTTTCTTCAGAAAAAGTCATTCCAGTTATTCAAACTGACGAAACAAAAAAACAAAGAAGTGAGTCGCAGTATAATATCCTAACCTTTTGAACAGTAAGAAATGCCACAATATTTTGTGCTACTTGGTTTAAAGAAGTGTTGCAGTCAGTTGATTGAGATGTGTGTACTGTGTGTTGATCTCACCTTCTGCTAAGGATTGTGTCTTGTTTTAAATCTGCTGCGTCAGCCAGCAACAGTCACAGCACCGGTAAGACGTCCCCACCTTCTCTCTGACATGACCTCAGATCATGTAGTCAACAACTTTAAAACAAGTTCAAGTCCGTAACAGAAGGCTTTTCCTTGTTTGTATGTTCATGTTAGTCCTACTTCTCAGATACTCCCCCTCCAGCTTTTTGATTTCATTTTTTCATAATCTGTTTGGGGTCAGTGTGGTAGAAAAAAATAATTATTCATTTGGAAATCTGTTTGTATATTTGTGAGAGAGAGGAAGAGAGCAGTGGGGGAGAATAAAAAAGAGAAAGTTACAACTCACTCTTTATTCTGTCGTTCTAATGAACAGGATATCTCTTGGAGGGGATTCCAGTACCTCTGAATGAGCAGATTAGATTCAAGTTTAGTGGTCAATTCATTGATTTGCTAATTATGACAAAATACACCTAATACATTTCATTCAATTGCTTCAAAGTCTTCAGTACTTATTTTAGTCTTAAAGACATGGATGGAAAACTGCAGCCTGCCTGCGTACTAACCATGAGGCGGTATTCTAGTTATAAATATTCTGTCTCTGATCTCAGATAACGAAATGAGAATGAAATGTGATCGTAGCCCATAAATATCATGTTGACCAGTAGTTATTACCATGCTGGTGCACTGCAGATAGAAAAATGTTGTGTTTGAATGATCAGAGGAAGTTAGGGGCAATGAAATGTTGTCATCTGTAAGTACAGCTAATGCACAGAGACACATAAAAAAATTTGTATTTATTCTTGTAGAATATAATAGATGTCAGCAAAACTACTTTGAAATATATTTTACTGTGGCTAATGATGCTCCTGAAATCATTAAGCAATATGTGCATTTGATGTTTTTATTAACAGTTTATTCTGTGGTTTATTGATTTCATTAACCCTTTCACATGGATTTCCACAACAATATTTGTTTCTATTACATCAGCCTTCAGGAGCTCCATATGATACAGCTGTTACTGCCTTTTTTTTATTTGATCATGACCATTATTTAAAGAGTTAGTTGAATTTATTGAGAAATAAGCTGTGTGTATGACTGGTAAAACACTGTCATTAATCGACAGGTCCAGAAGGTGCCAACCTTTTCATTTACCACCTGCCCCAGGAGTTTGGAGACCAGGATTTGCTGCAGATGTTTATGCCCTTTGGAAACGTCATCTCTGCTAAAGTCTTCATTGACAAACAGACAAACCTCAGCAAGTGCTTTGGTGAGTTCACATAAACATCTGTAAACATCTGTACATAAGCCCTCCTTTGACCAAAAGATTGACTGAACCAGGATCTGATTGAGGGCCTTGAGCTTTGAGACTGTTTATTTGTGGCAGAGTAATAAGCAGCCCTCAGATAAGTACTTTCCTGAACAGTGTAGTCATTTCTTGCAGCAAATTCACTGTAACAATAAAATATTGCATTAAATGTAAGCATACAATTTTCATTAAACTCTTCCCAACCAGTAGATGTGTTTAAAGTTGACTTTGTAGGAACATAGGTACATTTATCTACAAAAGAATATGGGTGATTCTTTCAGCATCTGTCCACAGCTGCTCTATACTGTACCAAAAAACGCCTCAAACATTGCGCCACTCTGTTCTATCCAAACAGCAGTATGATTTCCTTAAAGGTCCAGTGTGTAAAATTTAGGTGACAGAAATTTAATGTAGAATAATCCTCATGATGTTTTCACTAGTTCATTTCATCTAAATTGTATGAATTGTAGTTTTCTTTACCCCAGAAAAGGCCCTTTATATTTAAATAATTTATATTTACATGGAGGGGACCCTCTCTACAGAGGCCGCCATGTTTTTTACATTAGTCCAGACTGGACAAACTAAACACCTTTTAAGTTTTTATGACAACTGAAGCTACCACAGGTTCTCTTTCATGTTTGGAAGGAGAGGGTGAGGTGAGGGGTGTTCAGCTGCAACATGCAACTTCAACACAAAATTCTACACACTGAACCTTTAAGAAGGGTCTTTCCAATTGTTGAGCCTTTGTTTTCATGCTTTAGTGTGATTGGCTAAGCTTTTTGAGAACTATGAAGTCAGTGATGTGACTGATTTATTTTTAACTTCACCCAGCCCCTCATCACTTCGTGCTGCTGCACTTACATGAAAATGGCATCTTTATCGAAATTCTATGTTGCAGTGTTATCTTTATATTCAACCAACTTCAACTCCCCCATGTTTTGCCAACCAGTTTGTACATTGAATCAGCCTTTAGACTGTTCCTTTCAGTGCAAATGAGGAGTGACAAAATCTACAGTCCTCATTCAGTTTGTCTGAATTTAATGTGTGCTGGCATCATTTAAATGGATATCAGCCTCATCCGGTATTAGCTCTAGCTTGTATTTAAAATGTATTATTGCACAGAATAAGGAGAATGGTATCTTCATCATTTACAGTGAAATTGCTTTAAGACAGGATCTCTTTAGTGTCTGTGTGGACCGGTTGAATGAGTGCAGCGATGAAAAGATGTTTCAGATGAAAGACTGACTTAAATGCAGGAGTAAGTGATTTTCATAGGAGCTAGGACAACTGGAAAGAGGTTTCAAGCATTTGTGAATAAAAGGGGCATTGATTTCATTTTCACGGTCTTAAAATATTGTTATTGTTTGTGTTTCTCCTTCAGGCTTTGTGAGCTATGACAACCCCGTGTCATCACAGGCAGCCATCCAGTCAATGAATGGTTTCCAGATCGGTATGAAGAGGTTGAAGGTGCAGCTGAAGCGCTCAAAGAATGACAGCAAGCCCTACTGATGGTGCTGAGGCACTGCAGAGTTAGTTAGGCAGGGTGGTGTTATGGTAAGTGGAGTATGAATAAGACTGGTCCACAGAAACTTGTCTGTGCATTTCAGGGTGGTGTCTGCTGCGCTGCCTCTCCTGGTCATTGTACCGTGTCCAGGCAAAGACACACATGAAGCTACATGCAAGAGCTTTTGGGCTAGACTGGATTCTTCCTGTGTTCTGTTGTGGTTTATGCACTTTGTTTTCATTTTAACAAATAAGAGAAACAGGTGTATTTTAATTTAAGTTGAAATGTTATCAGTTTGCTGTGGTACATAATAAACATGAGTTCATTGTTAGGATATGTTGCACTTTGACAGTCAGGTGCCAAAACCATGTGTTTTTTACTTCCTGTTCCCCCTCCACTCCACCACTGCCCAGACTCACTTTAAAGCTCCCTCACACAGAGCTACATCAGATTAGAGAACAGAAGTCATCACTTTTCTTTTGCAAACCAAATGTGTGGTTTCCCCTCTGTATTAGGGATCTGTATCATCTCTTAACATGGAAACCGTGTATGTGATTTACACCTAAATTAGTAGTGAGGTACAGAGACTCAGATTGTTCTTAAGGAGGAGCTCCACTAACACATGCAGACATATGGACACATGCAGAGTTTGTAAAATGTGTGCGTCTTTGGTAGTGAGAGCATATCCTTCATCAGTGACTGCTGTGACAGTTGGGCTGTAAGCAGCCTGTTCTTGTTCTCTGGTGTTTCCACTGAGTTAAAATGAGTGAGTTCAGGCTTACGTCCTCCTGTAACGTCCCTGATAGAAGGAGAGAAGCTCGATGATCTCCGTTAACAGTTCTCCTCTGAGTTCTGACAGCACTGCCACCTGCCTGTGACTCTCATATCAAGATGACACATTAATGCTAGTCTGTGTTTGAAGTGTCTGGCAGCTGTTGCATGGCTTACACTAATCAAGCGGTCTCAAGTAGATGACCACACGTTTGCGTTCAGGTTTTGTTGTGTATAAAAATTGGCTGGAATTGATTTCTGTATGACACAAATATTCTTCTTCTGTTCAACAGTGTGTTTTCTTTTAGTTTCCAAACTTTCTAATGCAGCTGATATTGCATGTGTGAGTATAGTCGAACCCCAGCATGTTTTGGTGGTGCTCCTTCTGTGCTGCTGCACTCTGAGCGACTCAGATAAATACAAGTCTGTCTAATTGAGATTCAAAGCCTCAGTGAAATATATTTTCTGGTTTTAGTTTGTTTCTACTTTGAATCCAGGTGATTTTTTTAAAGATTCATCGCACCCCCAGCTACTGTCCTGCTAGTTAGCGGCCAGCTAAACTACAGAGGGCTACACCACTTTGTCTCTCACTGGATCTCTTCTGTGATTGGAGAACTCATATAAATGTTAAATTGCTCAAGACAAACATGTTAGTTGATTAGACTTCCAGAAAATCATGTGTAAGTGCGTGTGTGCGTGCGTGTGTGTTTTTTTTAAATAGAACTAGTTGGCAAGACAATTGTTGAGATGTATATTTAAACTATTTTGCCTTTTCTATTTTTATATAGGTTTTATACTTCCCCTGTGTGTTGGGGAACTATTTATTGCCTAAATTATTTATCTGAATTGAAATTATTTTGAAAGACAAATGTGAAGTCCAACAAACTCCACTTGATCTCCTGGTGTGTGTCCTCTCTTTGCCTGTTCAGCGTTGTTTCCTTTTTGGTGATGTTTACTATGTGTCAGTGTGGCATGGACTGTGTGTGTAGGATCCATCAGTGCTGCTACAGACTTCATAGAACCCCCTCTCTGTCATACATGCCTCCATCTGAATAAATAATTTGCCAAAAAAAAAACACAGGGAGCATAGTTTATTATATAAGTCCATTTTAACATGTGCCTGTTGGTCCTGTCTTTCTATATAAATATATAGCCATCCAATATGTGACGTCAACACATGTGCACCGCGTGACGTGCTTAGCTGTTTCTCTAATGTAAGAACTAGTTTTAATTCAAGTCTGAGTCTTCTGCAGTGAGACAGTCAGAGAACCTGTGTGATGAAAGTTTGACCAGGGCACTCAGTCTCTCTGTTACAGGGTCATTCATGTAAAAGCAGCTACAGGTCACCATGTTGTGTGTAATGTTGTCCCGTTTACTTAATGTTGTGTTCTTTTTGGAAGTTTCTTAGTATATTGTAAACTGTATAAACAGGATTCTTACTATTGCACAAAAATCATGATGATGTGTCAGGGTCGTCATGTCTAATCTATCGCTGTGTTGTGCTTCAAGACTTTGTTCGAATCTATATGTATTTTTGAATATTAAGACAAAAAAAATTGTTATTTATGCACCGTGAAGTATTAAACAAGTCCAAAGTGTTCAATGATGAGTAAAATGGTGAGGTCATGGCATCATGACCCATTAGTCCATCACGTGAACTGGACCACTGAAAAAACAAGTTGCAGGTTTGAAATAATGAAGGCTCGACAAGACCCCCATGATTTGTCAGGAAATGCTGCTTAAGAGCTGCAGATAAATGGATGTTACACTGATTGCACTGGTGGTGTGAATTGTAAGTTACCAACAACCTTAGTTCACCTTCTGTCTCTACTGTATATGGTTAGAGTATCTCATCTTTAGAAGATGCTGCCTCTCCAGCAAGGATACAGCCCCTGAACTGAGACATTACTGCCTTAAAATTTTATGCACATTAGAGGTGCAGGAAAAAAAATATTTTTTTAAAGTTTTAAACCAAAGTAAAAAAAATTCAATTAAAAACCAAAACCCTCAACGTGTCAGTTCATCTCTCAATACTGTCCCTGCTCTATTCGTGGTTCTCAGCCTCCAGGTCCTCTCAAAAATATATAATTGATTTCCTGAACGAGCTGGACACTTGGTCTTTTGGCCAGTTTTAATCAAACAGGAGGGAAAGTGGTTCTTTGGATCCATTTTCCACACTAGGAGGATAAGTGACTATTTGAGGCAGCTGTGTGTGTGTGTGTGTGTGTGTGTGT